TCCCCTCAAGATGTCCACATCCCAATCCCAGAACCGGGGAATCTCTTGTCACATAGAAAAGGGGAATTGACTTTGAAGATGGGATTAAGGTTGCTTGTCAGCTGACTCTGAGACAGGAGATAATCCTGGATTCGTTGTGTCCAGTGGAACCAGGGAGTTTTCAAAAGTTGAAGAGGAAAACAGAAGAGGTTAGAGTGGTGCCCTGTGACAGATTCAACCCATTGTTACTGGTTTTGAGGATGGAGGTGACCACAAGCCAAGGAGTGAGGACAGCCTGTGGAAGCTGGAGAAAGGTGAGAAATGAATTTTTCCCTAGAGCCATTAGAAAGAAATTTAGCCCTGCTAACACTTTGATACCAGCTCAGAGACCCGTGTCAGACTCTGACCTCCAGAACTGTAAGGTAATACATTTGTGTCAGCTTTTTTTTTTTTTTTTTTTTTTAAAGAATTAGTTTTTATTTAACTTTGTTTATTTTAATTTGAACTGGGTGGGGGGAGAGAAAGAGAAAGAGAATATGAGACAGCAAGCTTCCAGGTGGTCTGGGACTTAAACTGCAGTTGACCATGTGGGAGTCCAGTGCCCTAAACTACCACGCCACCTGCTGGCCCCACATTTGTGTCATCTTAAGCCATATAGTTTGTGCTGCTTTGTTATAGCAGCCATAGGAAATGGATTACACATGTATACTGAAATCTATTTAGGTCTACCTGTATTTGAAGACTAATTTTCATAGCCAGTATTTTCTAGTGTAGGTATTTAACACTTACAGAAGCTATGAATTTAGAATAGGTATTCAGGGGACCAGCAGATGTCGTAATGGTTAGGTTGGTGGACTCCCATGTAGTAAACTGCAGTTTGAGTCCCAGATCTAGTGGCTTAAACTCACACTGGGCACGCATGCATGTAATCCCAAAAGGAGATTGGAGGAGAAGGGATTGTGGCGTGGCCATCTTCCCTGGGAGGGTGTTTCTTGTTTTCTGTCTCTGTCTCTCTCTGTCTTTCTGGTGAGTGCACGCACCCTATAGCAAAAACCTTTCTTTTTCTTAAAACAAACAAACAAACAAACAAAAAACAAACAAAAAAACCTATAAGAATAGGTATTCAGTAGTGATCTGCTTACTAAAAGTAGCTTACTAAATAAAATAGTGAAATAACTACTTGAAGAAAGATAGTAGTTGAAATGTATTATGTTACTTTAATAGGAAATAATATCTTTTTAATAAAATTTAGACCCAGGATTTGGGATTCAAAATTGCTTTTTAAATCCATGACTTGCAGAGTTCCCTTAATCTACTCTTATGATATTATTTTTTAAAAGGTTTCTCTTATTAGTTTCCTGAATTGAAGCATTATGAGATGCAGTACATTCAGCTCTAGGATCCAAGGATGGTCTGTTTCCCTTTGGGAAATTCCACTGTACTTTTCCCATTTCCCTCTGGCATTCCTCTTAAAAGTACCTGGCTTTGCCACTGTTCTGTAGCCAGAGCTATGTAATCCATCTCCTCACAAGTTGTTTCCAGTCCACCAGGGGAGAAAGGCATGAACAGTAATTATAGGTCAGTGTGGTAGTGTAGTCAAATAAATAATGCATAAATGTTATAGAACACCCAGGGATCCCAGAAAACCCTGCCAAATACTGTTTCGGAATATTAAATGATAGGTCAGATTTTAAAAGAAACATTACGTTGCTGTGGGCCCCGTTACAAGTTGTAGAGCATAAATTCCAACTCTACACCTGACACCTGTTAAGAAAACCACACATTTTTGTAAACCATGGATGAGCTCCATGAATCATTTTGCCATGTACCTATCAGTGAGAGATGAAATATTTGGTGACAGATACTGCTTATTCAAGAGGAACATTTTCCAAATATATGAAATTGAGAATAGTTCTTTGGTTTGCATTTGCCATCATAGTCTTTTTAGTGTGTAATAAATTCAGAATTTTTTGGCACTAGGTTATGGATTGATTTTGCAGTCTGTTCTTCTTTCCTATCATTTTCTAATAGGAATTTATTGAACTCTTGATTTCAGTTAATTATATTTATTTATTTTTAGGTTTTTGCCATAGGGTGTGTGCACTTGCCAGAAAGAGAGAGACAGAGAGAAAGAGAATGAGAGGGAAAGGTGATAAACCATCCCAGCAGGGAAGGCTACACCACAGTCTCTTCTCCTCTATTCTTCTGGATTTTGGGCATGCATACAAGTCCAGTGTGAATTTCAAGCTGCCACATGTGGGACTCAAACTGTGGTCAACCATGTGGGAGTCCAGCACCTTACCCACCATGCCACCTTCTGGCCCCAGTTAATTATTTTTTTTACATCAAGAACAGGCCCACAGTTTTTACTAAAAATTGTTTTCTCTAATTTCTGATTTACACCTATTGTATATCTTTGTGGGGTACTGTGTGGTTTTTCAAAACATCTCTACAGTGAATAATAAACAGATCAAATAAATAAACACATCATCTCCAATACTTCTCGTTACTTTGCGTTTTATACTTTTGACATTTACTCCCTTGCTTATTTGGAAATACACATTAAATTGTCACCAACATTCTTTACTGTGCTATACTATTCTACAGCTCATTCCACTTGTTTACCTGTACTCTTGCATCTTTTAAACAAATTCTCCTCATCCTTCCTAACCCCCACTCTCCAGTACCCATGATTGCACTCTCCACTGTTGGGCAGTGGTGTCTTTTATCTTCTGCTAACGAGTGAGGGCACGTAGTATTGGTTAAGTGAGATCGTATGGTATTTGTCTCTCCAAGCCTGGCTTATTTTACTCAGCTTACTTCTTCCACATTCATCCATTTAAAAAATATAGAACGCTTCATGAATTTGTGTGTTGTCTTTGCTCAGGAGCCTTGCTAATCTTCTCTGTATTGTTCCAGTTTTTAGTATATATGCTACTACTGAAGCAAGCACTTGATTTTTTTTTTTTTTTTTAAATGTGTTTGTAAAAGCAGTTAGGGTCCAGCTGTGGGCAGTGTGCTGCTAAGATACTGCTCTGCTGTCTGGGACCAAATGGGAAGCCTGGGATCAATCCCTGGTCCAAGCTAAAGGCAGTGCATGGTAGTCTGTACCTGAAGTGGTGGCGACTCAGAAAGGTTGAGGAAACAGGTTCATGAAAATTGAGGCTAGCCTCAGCCACGTAGTGAGACCCAGTCAACCCATCAGTCAGTCAGTCAATGAAATTGAAAAACAAAAAAAAAAGTGTGGGGTATAGTGTGCATGTCTGTGGTCCCAGATGAAAGACTGAGGTAGAAAAATCTCAACATATGGAGATCCCATTTAAAAAATAAATAAATTAAAAAAATTCAAAGCAGTTAGGTAATTGTTTCTTCTTTTTTAGACAGAGATTTTTGCTACAGGGTGTGTGTGTTCGCATGGGAGACAGACAGAAAGCTAGAAGTCACACCCCCAGCCCCCATGGAGGGTGGCCATGTTGTGATCTCTTCTCCATTCTCCTCTCAGGATTTTGGGCACACATGCACATGTACCCAGCATGAGTTTTAGGCTGCTGAGTGTGGGACTTGAACCATGGTCAACTATGTGAGAGTCCAGCGATGTAACCGTTATGCCATCTGCTGGTCCTTGTCCTGTTTCTTTTAAAAATCAAATTCTATCAGTTTTGTCCTCATTATAGCATTCCTTACAATTTGCTTTTTATTGTTATAATGGTGAATGGTAATGTTTTGGTGAACAGGGAAACACTTGATATATAAAAAAGATAGCTACTGTGAAAAGCAGAATCTTTTTCTTTTCTTTTCTGTTTTTTTTTTTTTTTAAGAAGAATTTTTGCTATAGAGCATATGTGCTTGCCAGAGAGACAGAGACAGGAAGCAAGAAATCATCCCCTCTTGGGGATGCTACAATCCCTTCTCTCCTCCACTGTCCCCTTGGGATTTTGGGTATGCACGCATATGTGCCTGGCGTGCGTTTCAAGCTACTAGGTCTAGACTCAGCGTAACCATTATGCCATCTGCTGGTCCCTCTTTTTTCTTAATTTTTAATTTTTTTTTTATTTAATGCAAGAGAAATGGAGAAAGGAGGAAAGGCAGAGAGACAGAGATAGTTATTTTTGACAGGGTCTGATTGTGTTGCAATCCTCCTGCCCCATCCTTCCTAAATTAGCTAGAAATATAGGCTCATACTGTCCCAACCAGCATGTTCAGGTTGACCCAGGAAGTGACCCTTGGGCTCCCATGTGGCCTCTAGCCTTCTGAATATGGTGCTATCTGTTGGTCCCTGTGGCTTGGCCACAGAATTTTTTTGATTTATGAATTTGAAACTGATAAAAGTCAAGTGATTACAAAAGACAAACCTAATGGGAGTTTAATTTCAGAAACAAAATATGCTCTCTTACATATAGCATGATTTGCCTTGTCTGAGAGGTTCTTCTTCATTCACTTACCAGAGGTACTTAACCACCTACCTCTTTCATTCATGTTACGTGCACTCAAACAAAAGAGATGAGAAATTGTGAGTCACAACATTTGGTTGTTTTGATGTCACGACATTAGCTAGAATAACGGCATTAGTCAGAATATTGCTTCTGTTGAAAGTGATTATCAGAAGTGTGTTGCTATATATGGCTCCATTCCTTGTCTGTTTTGTTCAGACGGGGTTGTCAGCAACATGGCAGCCACTGCTGGGGGTTATAGTGATGATCCTCTTTGTCTGCCAGTGGAGGAAGGGTCCCTCCTCCTTCCAGGAGTAACTGTGTCTGCCCATTTCTTTCATGATCCTTTCCTTAGTGAACTGTGTCATCCTGCAATTCCAGTCTCCCTCTTTCCAGTGGATTCTTCTCTATAAGCTCCTCAAATTGAACATGACTTCTTTACTCTTAAGACAGACAGACACACACACACTCAGACTTCATACTCAGCCATCCCTCAACTCTGTTACTCCTTCAAGCTACCGACACTTCACTCTTTC